ATAATTTACATAACCTCCTACTCAATGAAAGGCTGCTTTCTACAGCATCCCTGACAGATGGTCCTTTAGCTTCTGCTTGAGCACTTCCCATCATTAGAGTTCATTACTCTCTGAAACGATTTCATCTTGAATAGCTCTAATTATTAGAAATTTCTTTCTTATACCGATTCCAAACATACATCATGATGATTGCCAATAATTGATAAAATGATTCTCCCAATTTCCTTACCCTCTTCCCTGTCTGACCCGATTTATATATTTTCCTTCTTAAGATACTTATATGCTTCAATGTGCATTTTACTATCACAGTACTTCTTTATTCTCAGTGGGGAATTGTGAAGAATGCATTGAATTCAACAAATATACATGAGGAATCAGTGTACAGGTAGATTATTGTGAGGGCCACCATAGGAAGATTTCTTAGAAACTCAGGATCCAGCAAATCTGATACCCTGGACCCCTGAGAGGTTCCTAGCTCAGATCCTTAGAGTGGGCTTCCTTTCAGATTAGTCTTATGATTTTTCTTTTCTTCTTCCTTGTGTGTGTGTCTGTGTAAGGGGGATGGTCTGCTACATACAATACTTAAATAATAAATTATTCACTAAATAAATAGTATTAGCGTAAATTGTTAGCTGCTATGTTAATCTTTCTTATCCATATTTTTAATGGGGATGAAGGGAGGGAGGGACATGGAAAATATCCTGCCGAACTTCCATTTATAACTGTATTTACTACATTGTAAATAGTTAAGGAAAGCGAATCCCTCTAAATCCTCAGAAAAGTTTTCTTTATGCTTATATAGTCATCTAAAGATAAATGAAATATCTAAAGGTTAGATAGTTATCCATGCTGGTGGTAGCAAAAGATAAAAAATGCCATAAAAAATCCAGAGACATCTGACCATTTTTTAAGATTTCATCATGTGGAATGCCCTCCTCATTCACCTTGAACTATCCAAAGTCTAACTGTTGCCTATGAATCTATGCAAGCCAAAATAGTCCTTAATACTTTTCTTGACTATCATAATTTCCAATGAGCTGAGCTTCCCGAACTCCCATGTTTATAGTCCAAAAACATTTATTGAGTAACTAATGGTTTTCTAGGCATTGTGTCAAGTACTACCAATAAAAAGATGAAAACACAGTCTTCAGACAGCTTAAGTTCAGAAGGGCACGCTAACAAGGCAATCAAAAATTGAAAAATAGTATGGAACGTGCTAGAATAGCACAGGGCTATTTGTAAAGAGATAAGGGGCACTTAGCTTTTTCTCCATGTGTTTTGACAGTTACAGAGCGATCTAGTGCTGTGGTGCCAGGGAAGAAGTCTTGCATCTGGAAGTGGATGTTTTCTCATTGCATTGTAACCGTTTATTTTTATGTCTATTTCAACATGCTGTTGCTAGCAGTAGATTAGTGATAATAGTGATTAGAGATTCCCCACTCCCCCAAATAGGAATACAATTCGTAGATTGTCTTTTTATCTTTGGAAGTCTACAAACTATGTTTGCAAATGTATTAAGCGTTGGATATGCTGTAGAAAAGATAACCTTTGCGGTCCCTTCCAAAAATAAGCAACTATAATTTTTTGACTCTATATTATACCAGAATTATCTGTTACTCTTTCTAGTATTTGATTCACATTACCCTACCCTCTAGAGATTTTCGTAAGTTATAGTGAAGGATCATTCTTTGGGCCAACTTTTCCCAGCTTTGAATATAGTTCAGTTGTTCTATCTTTAAATGGTTTACATTTTGGTTTATGACCATGATGATTTTTCCCTTTCTTGTTGATATTTGTGCTTCTCAAATGTTTGTGATAGGTTATTACAATTTTAGACGTCTTTTATCCGTCATATCGAAGGATTTAATCTGATTTATGAATCACTCATCCTTCCCAAAGTCATTTTGCTGTGTCTCTGAAATTCCTCCATGTCTTTCCAACTTCCTGGTTTTGAGGTGCCCAGCTGAATGTATTTCAGCTCATTTACACATACCAGGTATTTTGCATATTCCCTTCTGCCCTGGACTTGTTTGATGTGGTTATATTCGGTCCTGTGCTGCAGAAAACATTATGTAGTTGCCCAGTCAATATCCACAAGTAGACTCACATTTCTGAGACAGAGGGTGCCAAACAAATCCTTTACTTACAACAAATCCCAAGTTAATATTATAAAACCAAGTAGTATCCAATATAAGAAATTTAAAAATTAATTTATAGCCACTAGCTAACTCATGCATAATCAAATCATTATACAGAAATGTTTTATGTTATATTCACTGGAATTCTCAAGCAAGCTTTGATGAAATCAAACTGTATTTCCATAAATATGTGTGGTACTCATTTGACCAAATGAGAAATGCAAGTTCAGCTCAAATATATTTTTTCCTTATAGCATGATCTCTACTCCGGAAAGCCCCTTCAACAACAGATTTAAAATTTAAACCATGTTTGCCAACATTTGGGATTCCCCAAAGCTTGGATTAATTACCAAATGCTCCTGCAAACTCAGCAGCAACAGCACCCTGAGCTCCACAGACCTTATTTTGTACAGAATTGGCATGTTTTTGCACTTTGTGAACTCTCTGTAGACTTCATATTCACAGCATTCTGGCTACATCGTGAAAAGTTCCTTTTGCAATAATTAAATGTGAGTCTAGGTCCATAATCAACAAACTATAAGAAAGTGTTGGAAATTATCAAGCAAATTTGACCAATATAAATGAATTGCATAATTAATTTATATGACTTTGTTTAAAGGGAATTTAATTCATAATTAGATTTGCTCATTCACTCAATCTCATAATAATTAACATCGACTAATGTTCATAATAGCAAACATTTATTACTTCCTAGGAGTTGAGGAGTGTATCCTTTGCTGAGGGTATGGCAATGGTTAAGATGTGGTTCCAATACCTATGAAGCTCATATTTGTTGACAGCACCATGCAAATGTTAGGTTCTGGAACAGAGGCTTCCACAAGTTGCTAAAGGAGAATGGAGGAGGGGACACACATTTTTCTGAAGAGCCAGGCAGCTCAGGGAACATTTAACAGAGAGTCAAGATTGGAGCTGATATTCAAGAATAATTGTAGGCCTAGAAGGTTAGAGACGAGAGTATGGAAAGGGAAGCAAGAGAGGGAGAAAAAGGGACGACCAAAGTGCCCGGTGGTCTGAGAGAGGTTGGTATAGTCATCAATTGTAGCTAATGTGGTATGATTAGAGTTGAGAGTTTATATTGGAAAGTGCTAAGAGTTGAGACTAGGGCAGGATTCAGATAATACAAGACTTTTAAGTTCATGCTAAGAAGATTAACATTTTTATTTGATATGCATCTGATTCAGTGACATATTTTTCAAGTATAATTGTCTCCTTAGTGGATGGCAAGCTACCTACCTTTTCTCTCTTTCTGTCCACTCTGCCTTCCATCCCTCTTACTCCCTCTCCTGTCCTCTCCTTTTTCCCACCCCTCCTTCTTCTGCTCCCTTCTGGCCTTTCTGTCTCTCCTCCTACTCTCTCTTCCCTTCTCCCCCTCTTCCTAATTTTCTCCTGCCTTAATGGATTAATTTACATTGCTTTGATTTTTTTCTATAAAGACCGCTATTTAAAAGTATTTTAAACATTCAACGTTATGCCAACATGCCTTTTGAATTTACTTGACAGCTTCAAGTATTTTTGAACCTATAAAGTTTAAAATAAAAGCTAGTCGTGTAGCCATAGGAAAATATGAGGCTCTCCACCTATAACTAAAACAGAATGGAAGCAGGTCATCCGTCCAAACTGGTCATTTGAAAATATGGAAATAAGAATGACTTTTTTTTACTAAAGCGCTGTTTTTTCCCTGATTTTAGGCAAACAACTTAACAAAACTTCAAATAGAAATAGAATACATGACTGTTTCATATTCTTCCAGCATACTTTCCTATTAAATGCTTATTTTGGTGCTAAATATTTTGCTTTCTGATGGTTCTCTGAGATTCAAATTTAATGTACTACGGACTCACTGACTATTTTATAACTATCCAGAAGTGTTCTTGAAAAGAATTGTATTTCTGTATTGTACGAGGTTTTCACAGGAATTTTTATATTGTTTGGATGGAAGATTATTCCACTAAAGGGTTGAAAAGTTAGAGTGATTTCTGTTAGAATTAAATCAATATGGGTTTAAAGATGGTCTCAAATACTCAGTGAGGATTTAATGGGAAGTTTGGAAGAGAAAACTTCAAGGCTGGAGAAGGTGAATATTATGGCAGGGAAACTAAGATTTTTTTTTGAAAGATCGCATGAATTTCAATTATTTGTTATGAACTCATTTATTTAATTCTGCCTTCTTATTCAACTTGATGTCAGATTTTATACAGATAAATGCCGTTGTGCTCTTGTTATCCAACAACCATTTATTTGTATGATACCTCTGCTCTGATTACTATCTCTGAGTCTTAGAGCAGGTTCCTTAGCAAGTTTGAACCCAGATATTTGATTTCCAAAGCCTCTAATGAAGTTGCCTGTTAATGTGACAACAGTGCCTGATAGGAACCAGATAATGTCTAAATATTGATTGTGATGTCTGTCACAGCTTTTGAAGAACTTCTATTTAATTTAGTTTAAAGAAATGAGGAGTTAGAAACTGCCAGATGAAGTGAGTGCATTTAATTTTTTAAACATAATTCAGCATATTTATGTGTAATATTAAAGAATGAGAGCTTAAGAAAATTATAGTCATATTATGAATGGTGTTGAATTGTAAAGCCATTGCTATTATACTCATATCATATGTGCTTTGAGCATTCTACATTTTTTATAATAGATTTTTTTTTGAGGGATGTCAGCAAGATGGCAGAATAGTTTTCCGCCATTATCTACCCATACAACATTGATTTTATCAACCACTCATGGGTGAGGATACCTTTGTGGGAGTCCAGTGGAGAAATGATAGCACATTGTTGGAGCAAATACCCAAGAATAGACACATGGAATAGGGCAAGAAGAACAGTTTCACTTTACCTGCATCAACCGTCTTCCAAGGCAGCAAAGCTCAGTGCCAAGAGACCCTCCTTGACCCACGATACCTACAATGGGAGAAAGTGAGAGCATAGTGAGTGAGTGCCTTCCAGCTGTGCAGAACACTGCCCAAGAAGCCTACTTTTCTCATCCCACTCAGAATCCTGAGGTAATTGGCATGCTTGAGAGGTGAAGTGAGGCTGGGAGCCTAGCAAACAGGGCTTGGAACTCATCAGGGGGCTGTAGAAGCATCACGGCCATCATCAAGAAGCCTGCCCATGAGCCATTTGGGACACTTCTCCTGTGTCCAACTGGCCCATGGGCAACCCCAATGCCTTATGTGCTTCACCCCCTCCTGCCTCGTGGCTGGCTCCACACACATCTCTGTAGATGGGGAGAGCAAGACTTTGCAGATGGCTTGCGAGCTTGTGCAGAAAGCCTGCCTGAATCTGCAGGGTTGGGAGAAAACACACAAACTTGAGTATTTTAGGGAACTACCCTAGGGAAATCAAATGGGTGGCTCTCAATGTTTGGTCTGGCTTTGCAGAGCTGAGAGGTGGCATGCAATCTTAAGAATTCCCCCGCAAGAGGGGACAAGAGGTGTAGAGGAGGTCAGAAATGACTGAGGAGGGAGATGACACACATGGAAGGGAAGGCAACGTGAAGATGGAGGCAGAGATTGGAGTGCTGGCCACAGATCAAGAATTTTGGCAGCAAGTAGAAGCTGGAAGAGGCAAGGAATGGATTCTTCCCTATAGCTTCCTGAAGACATGTGGCCTTGCCAACACTCCAGAGGAGAGTGGCTCTTGATTTTGACCCAGTGAACCTGATGTTGAACTTCTGGCCTGAAGCCTCTGAGAGAATAAATTTCTGTTTTTTAAGCCCCCCCCCAAAAAGATTTTTTTTTTAAGAATCAGTGATGATGGGCTGACCTCGTGACGCAGCAGTTAAGTTCACTTGTTCTGCTTTGGCCACCCGGGGTTCCCCGGTTCAGATCCTGGGTGCAGACATGGCACCACTTGGAAGCCATGCTGTGGTAGGCGTCCCACATATAAAGTAGAGGAAGATGGGCATGGATGTTAGCTCAGGGACAGTCTTCCTCAGCAAAAAGAGGAGGATTGGCAGCACATGTTAACTCACGGCTAATCTTCCTCCAAAAAAAAAAAAAAGAATCAATGTTGAGTGAACAGACATAAGCCTTATAAGCATAGTTGTCTTGATGTCTGAATACATTCATTAGCCAATTTCTATTAAGCAATTACTAGCTCTACCCTTAGATTTCTAGATTCATGTAATTTATAGTGGTATATTGGCCTAAATAAATTAAAAGTACATTGAGCATCACTGGTATACACTGATATTGAAAGTTTCACTTCATCCAAAGACACCATTAGAAAGTAAAAAGGAGAGGCTGGCCTGGAGGCATAGTGGTCAAATTCACACACTCCACTTTGGCGGCCTGGGGCTCACAGATTCAGATCCTGGGTGTGGACCTATGCACTGCTCATCAAGCCATGCTGTGGAGGCATCTCATATACAAAGTGGAGGAAGATGGGCATGAACGTTATCTCAGGGACCATCTCCCTCAAGCAAAAATAGGAAGATTGGCCACAGATGTTAGCTCAGGGCCAATCTTCCTCACACACACACAAAAAAAAGTAAAAAGGAGAAGTCATATAATAGGTTCATATTCCAAAATTATTAAGAATTATTATAATTCATTATGAAAAAAACACTCCTATAGACTGGGATAAAAATTACTTTATCAGAGGGCTGGCCCCATGGCCTAATGGTTAAATTCGTGTGCTCCACTTCTGTGGCCCGAGTTTGTGGGTTCAGATCCCCATCCCCAGTGTGGACCTACACTGCTTGTCAGCCATGCTGTGGCAGTGACCCACATACAAAATGGAGGAAGACTGGCACAGGTGTTAGCTCAGGGCTAATCTTGCTGAAGTAAAAAGAGGAAGATTGGCAACAGATGTTAGGTCAGGGGGAATCTTCCTCAGGAAAAAAAATTAGTGTCAGGATTTGGAGGTTGTTATAACAGAAATAATGAAAGTATGGATCATTGGCTTACCTGAAGCAATACATGTATCAGAGGCTTGAGTGGTGTTGACTCGTGTCATTCAGTGGCAAATCATACAGTAAAATAGTTACCTCTGGTGATATGGGAGGCAAGTCATGGACAAAATGAATTTCTGGCTTTGGGGGAGAGGTTAAAGAACAGAATATTATTTGTTCATCTTGTGTGCTGTTGGCCGTGTTTAACATAGTATCATAAGAAAGAGATAAATGTAGAAAGAATTCGCTAATTTGCAAACAAGAACTAAAAGAAATATAGAACATTCAGAAATGGGGCTCGAAAAGGCAAGTTCTTCTTAAACTCAAATGGCAGGAGACTATGAGAAACACTTGAGAAAACTCTGAGCGACCTTCAGTTGTTAAAGCTCAGCCTTTTGCCAAAGACCAAATTGAGAGTATGGTTTCCACACCTGTTGTTAATTATCCTCAATAGATTATTGAGCCTCAAGGCAAAGTTCAACTTAAGACAACGGGCCCAAACAAAAGTTCTTAATGACGTAAAACGAATTAAGGGCAAACGCTCAAGGGTGTGGTTCGTCTACTGAAACCAAAAAGATCAACGTGCATGACCACTCATTTGAGAGGGCATGAAGGCAAGAGAGCAAAGAAATAGAGCAGTTTGGGGATCTATGTCCAAGAACCAGAATTCTGAGTTTGGTTATAGGCGCGGGGAGAAGATTGGCATTAGGTAGAAATGAAGCCTGTTAAATGCTTGAAAGAATTGTGCTTCCAAAAAGAAGGAGGATTCTGTGACTAAGACTTCAAATGATGCTTGGAGCCCCCAAGTATTTCCTACACATTCTTAAAAATATCCCTTTTTTATTACTATTCAAGAAAGCCTGTCTCAGATGCTTAGTTAGGGCATATACAGAAATGAAGTGCAAGTCTGGCTGTTCTCCAGTTTGACAATTTTCACAACCAAGTTAAGAAATTGGCTAATCAAATAGGAAGAGGCGTAACTATAAGGAAGTTGTGAGATACAAGAACTAGACTAGAGATCTGTGGTGTTATCTTTATGCCCCAATATATAGCTCTGTGTTCTTGGCCGAGCAATCTGATCTTTCTGTGTCACTTTGTTCTTTAACGGCAAAAATGCAGTAATAGTAAACCAAATAACCATTTTAGAATTTTGCTTTCAGAATAGAATGAGAGGAGTATTCTTTGAAAATGTTGCAGAGTGATATAAAGACAAATGAAGTCACGCAGGAAATCAGAGGTCTGTGGCCTCTGTCAAGCTGACAAATAATGTAGCTCTTCCTTCATCCCTAATTGACAGAATTTGCTGAGCTCATTAGCATAGTCACTGTTTTGATCCTATAATATAGGTGCACCTGATTATTTTACCATTTGGACTCTGAACATTTAGATAAACATCCTTTTTTTTTTTTTTTTTTTTTCTGGATAGCTTCCAGATCGAATGGGTTTTAACACCCAAGGTAGACAGAAAAACATGAGACCATTGTCTTTCCAGATTATATTAAATTTTAGTTGTGGCAGGTCAAATAAGTAGTTCAGAATAAAAGTGAAATTTTAAAAACGAGAGGTTCTTTTCTGAAGATAAAAGTCTAAGGAAGGCTTGATGGTGCGTGTTCCCATTTAAAGAGAATTTACATTCTGAGCACAGCAAATGGTAATTGTTTTAAACCACAGACAAGTGAAGCATACGATGTGAATGTGTGTATTTACCCCGGTGCCCCATGAGTGCTTTCTAGGGCTGTCGCTAAGGTCGAAACCACTCTCCTCAATGCCGTGTCAATTAAAACCGTCCACACGTCGAAGTGCATTTAGGCTTTTGTTCAGTTACTCTGAACAATGTGAAATGCGTGAAACAGTCAGTAGTCTGCAATAGTCTGAACAGGGTGGGGGGGGATTTTCCAAGTTTGGTTTATTATTCAAAACAGAAGCTACGTTGTCTTGACAAATTTAAAACAGCAACAAAAATTTGTTTCTCGCCCATGCCATATGCATGTATGAGCTGGCCTGGGGTTCTGCTCAATTTCATCATAGCCCTCACGCTGGGATCCAGAATAACGTATCAGGTGCTGTGCGAATATTGGTGGTAAGTATAGCTGAGGGAGAAAAGAAATTGTCAAAGCATGTGCTGGCTATTAAAACATCTCCTAGGAAGTGACACACAGTCCTTTCCTTTCTGCCTCCCTTTCTGTGACCACAACAACTTAACAGCCATGTCTGAGATATGCAGCACAGAAAGTTTAAGCCTCCTGCAGGCAGGAGAACCAATAAAGTGTAATTTGTTCAACCCATTTGGCTGCTTAGGATGCAGACTAGTCACTTACATTTCAAATGCCGACTTCTGTAAATATCTATTTTTCAAGTATGCATAAGCAGCTACGGCTGTTTTCCCCGAGTCCCAAACTTACTCAGCATTTAGCAAAATTTTGCGTTACTAAGTTAAAAAGAAAAACCAGCGTTGCAACAATCCATGGACTAAAATGTAGTCTTGTTCATACATAATTTTTGTGCTGCTGCCCTTCATTCTTGTGGCCTCCTTATAGTTCACGAGGCATACTGATTATGTAACAGAAAGTTCTGTGGGTGGTAAGGGGGCTTCTCATCTCTGCCAACAGCTGGTGCCATTAAAAGTGCTCACCTGTCAACACTCATGCTGTCTTGGCCAGGAGTGGAGTCCCTACAGCATTGGCTGGCAGGCAATGCCAGTTTGGGATAGCTTGAATTATCGTTAGAGAGCTGCTGTATGAAAGATGAAAATAAGAAAGAGACTTAGGATGTCAGTGTGTGAAAATAAGTATGGGTTTTATTGAACTTCAACATCTGAGAAGCAAAGACAGTTTTTACATATTTTTATACATTTTCATTCCATGTTCACTACATACCTACATGTTCACTAATTTTATATAATCACTAGAGATGGAAACTTGTATCAACAGCAAATGACTCCTTTAAATTTAATATTTTAAAAATGTAATGGTTTTTATCTTGAATCCCACTTTAGCTAATATTGTATTCACATTCTGCTTTCTTTGTATTTATATGTTTTGGGCATACTTTACACATTTTTGATCTTCTGTAAATTTTTATCATTGGTTTTTCTTGTAAATAGCATATATTTTTAAGCTTATTGGGGAAGCTTGGTCTTTTAGAAAGGGAATTAGAGCAATTTATATTTATTTAAAGAAATGGAGAGTGATGTCAGCAAGATGACAAAATAAGATGTCCCCACTCATATCCCTCCTCAACAAAAATAATTTGGCAACCATCCATGGACCAAAGTGCCTTTGTGGGGGCTTTGGGATCCAGGTAGGGGATTGTGAAACCCCAGGGCTGTCCAAGACTGAGGAGAGTCCTTTTGAGAAGGCAGGCCTGCACCAAGGTGGCTGACACACTGAACATGGTCCTGGCTACATGGAACTGGCTTCAAATCCCTGTGGACTAGGCTATAGCCCCATTTGGCAGGATACAAAATCAACATACAAAAGTTGTAGGGTCGGCCCAGTGGCACAGCAGTTAAGTTTGCATGTTCTGCTTCGGCAGCCTGGGGTTCACTGTTTCAGATCCCAGGTGTGGACCTACACACCACTTATCAAGCCATGCTGTGGCAGGCATCCCACATATAAAGTAGAGGAAGATGGGCCTGAATGTTAGCTCAGGGCCAGTCTTTCTCAGCAGCAAAAAGAGGAAGATTGGCAGCAGATGTTAGCTCAGGGCTAATCTTCATCAAAAAAAAAATCAGTCGTATTTCTGTACAGTAACAATGAACTATCTGAAAGAGAAATAAAGAAATCAATCCTATTTACAATAGCATTAAAAACAGTAAAATACTGGGGCTGGCCCATGGCTTAGTGATTAAATTCAGTGTGCTACACTTCAGCAGCCTGGATTTGGTTCTCAGGCATGGACCTACACCACTCATTGGCAGCCATGCTGTGGTGGTGACCCACATATGAAATAGAGGAAGATTGGCACAGATGTTAGCTCAGGGCGAATCTTCCTCAGCAAAAAAGCAAAAACCAACACAACAACCAGAAAAGTCCAATAAAATACTTAGGAATATAAATTTAACCAAGAAGGTGAAAGATCTGTACGTTGAAAACAATGAGACTTTAATGATAGAAATTGAAGAAGATATAAATAAATGGAGAGATATTCTTCATTCATGGATAGAAAGAGTTAATATTGTCAAAATGTCCATACTACCCAAAGCAATCTATAGATTTAGTGCAGTCTCTATCAAAATTTCAAGAGAATTTTTACAGAAATAGAAAAAAAAATCCAAAAATTCACATGGAACCACAAAAGACCCTGAAAAGCCGAGGCAATCTTCAAAAGGAAGAACAAAGCTGGAGGCAACACATTTTGATTTCAAACTGTACTACAGAGTTATAATAATCAAAACAGCATGGTGCTGGCATAAAAACAGACACTGAGCAATGAAATGGAATCAAGAACCCAGAAATAAACTCACACATTTTTGACAAGCGAGCCAAAAATATTCAATGGAGGAAGGATAGTCTCCTCAATGTATGGTGTTGGGATAACTAGATATTGACATACGTAAGCACATTTGGACCCCGATCTTACACCACTCAAAAATTAACTCAAAATGTTTAAGGACTTAAATGTAAGATCTGAAACCATAAAACTAATAGAAGAAAACATAGGAAAAAAGCAGATTTACATTGGTCTTGGAAATAATTTCTTGGATATGACACTAAAAGCAAAGGTAACAAAAGCAAAAATGCACAAGTGGGACTATGTTGAATGAAAAGCTTCTGCACAGCAAAGGGAACAATCAATGAGATGAAAAGGCAACCCACAGAATGAGAGAAAATATTTTCAAATCATACACTTATAATAGTTTAATATCTGAAATATACAAGGAACATACACAGCTCAATAGCAAAAAATCCCAATAATTTTATTAAAAAATGGATACAACACCAGAATAGAGATTTTTCCAAAGATGATATTCAAATGGCAAAGAGGCACATGAAGAGGTGCTCAACATCACTAGTCATCAGGGAAATGCAAATCAAGACCACAATGAGAGATCACTTCACACCTATTAGAATGGCTATCATCAAAAAAACAAGAGATAACAAGTGTTAATGAGGATGTGGAGAAAAGAGAACTCTTGCATACTGCTGGTGGAAATGTAAATTGGTACATCCACTGTGGAAAACAGTAGGGAGTTTTCTGAAAAAATTAAAAATAGAAATATCATATGATCTAGCAATCTTCATATTCTGGGTATATAACCAAATGAAATGAAATCACTGGCTCAAAGAAATGTCTATACTCCCATGTTCATTGGAGCATTATTTGCAATAACTAATATGGAAATAACCTGAGTGTTGGTTGACTGATGAATGTATAAAGAAAATGTGGTATATATATACACCATGGAATATTATTCAGCAATGAGAAATAAGGAAATCCTGCCATTTGTGACAACATGGATGGACTTAGAGGGCAATGTGCTTAGACAGAGAAATCAGACAGAGAAAGACAAATACTGTATGGTCTCATTTATATGTACAACCTTAAAAAAAACAAAAACAAAACTTACAGAAACAGAGAGTAGATTGGTGGTTGCCAGGGTCAGGGGGCGAAGTGATCACAGAGGACAAACTTCCAGTTATACAGTAAACGAGTTATGAGGGTCTAATGTAAAGCACAGTGAATATAGTTAACAAAACCCATGGCGATACCACAACTAGAAAGACTAACAACTAAAATATACAACTATCTACTTAAGGGATTTGGGGAGAAAAAGCAGAAAAAAAAGACCCAAAAAACAACAACAAAAAAAAACCCATGGCAGAGTGATTAAGTTTGCGTGTTCAGCTTCAGCAGAGCGGAGTTCACCGATTCGGATGCTGGGCGAGGACATAGCAATGCTCCTCAAGCCATGCTGAGGTGGTGTCCCACACAGAGGAACCAGAAGAACCTACAGCTAGGGTATACAACTACGTGCTGGGGGGCTTTCAGGAGAAAGAAAGAGAGGGAGATTGGCAACAGATGTTAGCTCAGGGCCAATCTTAAAAAAAAGAAGCAAAAAACTGTATGGCATGCTTGAAAGTTGCTAAGAGAGTAAATCTTAAATGTTATCACCACATGCCCCAAAAATGAATCTATGTGAGATTTTAGAAAACAAAATTCACCTGAGTAAATTTTAGAGATCTTATTGGCTTTATTCAACGATTCATGAATCAGGCAGCATCCAATCTAGCAGATAAGAAAGAGCTCCTAAAAGCTGTACAAAATGAGTTTTCCAGGCAGCAGGGAGCAAGATTAAGGAAGTTTATACTCTGCAAAACAGTTTGTTATTTATTGCAAAGTTACGTTCTTTTAGGTGATGACAGGGGTCTATCAGGCAGATTACCTAACTAGTGTTGATCAGATGATTCCTGGTTGGCTTGTTTAAGATTCCCTTTCTGGGTGCTGGCCCGCAGTGGTTAAGTTCGCACATTCTGCTTCTCGGAGACCCAGGGTTTGCCGGTTCGGATCCCAGGTACAGACATGGCACTGCTTGCCAAAAAGCCATGCTGCGGTAGGTGTCCCACGTATAAAGTAGAGGAAGATGGGCATGGATGTTAGCTCAGGGCCAATCTTCCTCAGCAAAAAAAGGAGGATTGGCAGCAGTTAGCTCAGAGCTGATCTTCCTCAAAAAAAAAAAAAAAAGAAAAAAAAAAGATTCCACTTCTGGGAGAGCTGAAGCTGCAATTAAGTTAAGTCTTGGTTTGGCGATGTGGGGCTCAGCATAAGTGACTCCATTTTGGGCCTTTTGTCTTGTTTTTAACAGAGGTAAGAGACGTGTTACCTAACCTTATTGTGGTAATCATTTCACAATATAAATGTATATTAAATCATCATGTTGTACTCTTTAAAATTATACAATTTTATATGTCAAATGATCAAAATAAAGCTGGAAAAACAGAAACAAAATGTTTTTGGCATTAATTCTATCATAACAATCAATAATTGATATATTTCATGGCTCCTTCTTTCATTTTCTCTATTGTCCTTTATAAACTATGTTTATTTTTTTATTTAATAATTATTTCAAAGTTATATTTTTTAAAGATAAATTATGTTGTAGAAAAATTTAAATATTCTGAAATTACATTTGCTGCTTCCTTAGCGTTTCCCATCTTAGATTTTCCCACTATTGGTAATTCCATCCTTCTAATTGTTCTAAAACTTGGCATAAACTTGGTGCATTCTATGACACCTCTCTTTTGTTTACACAGCACATCCAATCTGTAATGCGTTCTTGTTGGCTTTAATTTTATATTTAATGCAAAATCCAACTACTTTTTGACACTTCCACTGTTAGGATCTTGGTCCGGGCCACTGGCATCTCTTGTTGTGTCATTGCAACACCTCCTGACTTCTCTCCCTATGTCTACCTTTATCCCCCTGAGCTGATCGCAATGTTAGGATCTAGAGAAGTTTTTCTCATTTATGTTAATTTACCTCACTTTTCTGCTCAAATCACCCAATGACTCTCCATTTCCTTAAAGTCCAATACTTACAGCGGCCTGCAAAGCCTCATGGGAACTCCATGCCTCTCATTTCCCTCTGGGCTTTTCCTGGGTACTATTCTTTCTCGTGGTCACTCTGCTCCAGCCAGGCTTTTGCACAGGCTGTTCCTTCTGCCTTCAGTGATGTTACTTCTGGAAACTTCATGGTTCATGCTTCACTGCCTTCAAGTGTTTACTGGGTTGCTCACCACCATCTCTGGGAGCTTGATTTTACCTGCAACTTGCGCGCTCTCCCCTCCCCTCTTCCAAACCCAGGCACTCCTCTTCACCTGTATCTCTTTATCCCCATATCATTTTTATCTTCAAATGCGCTTCTAATGCACATAGTTTAATATGTGATACATTTCATGTTTATTGTTGTCTACATTTGAAATTCTATGAAGGAAGGAATATTTACTGTTTCCTTTTCTCTGATATAGTCCAAGTACCTAGAACATTTTCTGGCATAGAATAGGTGTTCATTAAATATTTGTTGAATGAATGGATGAAAGGTCCTAGCCATTCAGTAGAGCAAAAATAAGAAATAAGGAGTATAAAGATTGGAAGAAAAGAAATATTTCTCATAAAAGATATATAGATGGTCTCTGACATGCTGTTTCAACTTATGATTTTTCAACTTTGCGGTGGTGTAAAAGCGATATGCATTCAGAAGAAACTGTGCTTTGACTTTTACTCTTGTCCTGGGCTAATGATGTGTGATCCAATATTCTCTTGTTGCGAATACAACCTCTCTCACAATCCCAGTAGAACTGTGTAACTTGACAAGCTTTTTCTAATGTACATATGTATATGAAAAGGTTAATAGTCATCAAGACGGTTGAAGAAAAACAACATAGGAAGACTTTCTCTGGTAGGTGTCAAGGCTTACTATGAATTTGTTATAATTAAGAGAGTGTAACATCGGCACAGACTACAAGAACAAAATGCGAAACTCACAATCAGA